GTCTGAAATTGGAACTTTGCTCAAACCAGGCCATAAAATTTTAGTTAATTCATCACATTGTCGTGGTCTGACAAACCATTTCATAGTCTGAGTCTATAAGAGATATTGCAATAAAAAATAACACAAAATATTCAAAGTGAGTTTCAGATAATTTGTGCTTTATCTTCTCAATTAGTGTTCTTGATTTTCTCTGAGTACAAAATTTATGCAATCTCCAACATACATAAATGCAGAAGTCCTTAATTGCTGGTGGTCTTATTTGTGTCTGTATGTCAAAGGAATTCTTTAAAAGATACTTGTACTTTTCTTCTTTTGATGATGTGGGAACAAATAGTGATATATGAAGTTAATTTACATACAGACTTAGGAATTTAATTGTCCCTTGGTTTTGTTTCGAGAAGTCTTGACTAAATCTTCAGTCAACTCTTGGGTATCTTGAGGTGCATTTACTTAAATTCCTACGCTTAGAAGTACTGTGGTCTGTGAATATATTAAATTCTTTCTCACATAAGGTCTGTTATGTTCTAGAATTAGTGGGAAGCCACTTGTACTCTGTATGACACTTTTAATTTTTTCAACCTCCATTTTGGTTGTGATGATGCTGATCTCTTTTATATAGGGTATTAATAGTAAGAATGTTGTCCTGAGATAAACATGACATTTATAGGTTTTAAAGATACATCCCCTACATCCCAGGACAACAAAATTTCATTAAAAACTAATCACTCCTGATAAATAGACGTTCAACCCAGCGTCTGAGCAATCAAGTGTCTGGGAGCAACTGAGACCAAAAATAAATCTGGAAAAAAGAATCTTTTTAACTCAGTGCAGCAACTTTTTAAAGATGTAGTACTTTTAAACTAGAGTTTAGTTTATCCTTATATATTACTCATGAAGTTCCGGCTAAGGCACTCACATGCAAAAGGGCAGTTCTGGCTTCTCTTTTTGGGTCTGTTATGCTTGTAATGGTCTAATAAATAATAGAGTCTCAAGATGCAATTATTTGCTATTTCCTTTCCCATAAGGAAACTCAAACCTTTTATGCATGTGTTTTCTGTAAGTTTTTCAGGTCTAAATAAGGATTTTTGATTAAATCAAAACAAATTTCTGATACTGAATGCATAAGACAAGGTCTACCTTTTTTATTTCTTTAATGACAAATGAAGTAGCAATAAAGGTTTTTTTTGTTTTGTTGCTTTTTTTTCTAATTGTCCTCAGTCATTGAGTAGCTTATATGCCAAGGAAGGTAATTTTTTACAACTGTACTGCAAGGTTGCTAAATTAAAACACTTAATGAGACACAGGAATTTTTACAGTTTCTGATCAAGGCTCTTGGGACCAATTATCCAGCTAAAATAAATCAATAGCTTCCACAAAGGAAAAGAATTTCACTGTATTTTTTTCACAATAGATAGAAAGTTATTTTATTGCTCATACTTTGGAAGGAAGGTAAGCACTGACAGTACACAACTTAAATATCTCTAGGGTAGAGACTGTTTATTTGTTTTCACTGTGTCTAGGATACTTGAAGCCTTATTCTTGATCAGAGTTTCTTGCTGGATATCAGAGTTAATAATAGAATAAATGTTTCAGTCTTTGTTAAACTACTAATGTGTTTTAGAGAGATGTAGTGAAAACTGAATTAATGAAGGTCAAAGCTGTTTTGGAGATAAGAAAATAATGGGAATTATGAACAGACTCAAGAAGTAAGGGGATAAAAGCTTAAGAATTCAGGAAAGTTGAATAGTTTAGCTTAGTTTTTTTTTCAGAGTGATACTTCATTGTCCTCAGAGACAGAGGAAAAGACTGTATTGCCAAACAGATACAGCAATCCTCTTTAATACTAAAATAACAGTTTTGTATTTTGATACATTTGCATGTGGAACTCTAAGTTAGTTCTCTACTTTTTTAGAAAGAAAAAACTTGCTAGACAAAAATTCTAGTTTTATCAAAAGTCCTTCTCATAGGCATTTCAGCCAAAATATAGTTGACAAATTTTTCAGACTATATTTAAACATCTCATTTTTAAAAAATTATAAAATATTAATTTTTAATTTTGGTGCACATTTTCAGTTCACACTTTATTTTGGATTATAACTTACTTCACAAAGTAATAAACAGAAATCTGAATAAATATCTTTCATTTATCAAAATGAGAAAAAAATGTAAAAAATCAAGCTTTCTACAAATTTTGAACATGTGAAAATCTTCACAGACTGACATTTCTAATGTCTATGAGTCCAGGTTTTAAGGACAATATTCACAATATACTGCAAGATTTTTTTTGGGGGAGGGGTTCAGTTTTCTTAAAAAAGTATTTACCAAAAAAAGGGCATAATGTGTTTTTCTGCTCACATTAATAAAATGTTTTTCATTTATATAATTTGGCTTTTGATATTTAGAGACTGAACTAATTATGATAAAGGGGAAAAAAAAGGAAAATAGTGGTTCTCTGTAGATTGCTTGAACTAACTACAAATCATTGTCAAACAGTTACCAAGCATGTCTGGAATAGTGAATTCAAGATTCTGGGCACAACATTAAAAGTTCTAAAACCTATTTCTTNGAGTAACTTCAACATTAAAATATCCCTGATTCCAGCAGACATGGACTAGAATTTTTATACTAATATATTTTTTAAGTTAGCATGGAAAGATTGAATACTTATCATGAATTCGTATTTAAAAGGAAAATGGTTGCCAAACTCAGATAAACTCAGAGACTTTGTCAGATCACTAATGTTCATCACGTACACACAGTCAAAATAGATGACAACACTCCGTATGACAAAAAAAAATTTACTTAGTCTTGGTCTGTTATGAAAACTATTTTCATAGCTCAATTGTCTTGCAATACCATTTCATTTTAAATAAAACTATATTTCATTTATCTGATACATACATTGTGAAGGACCAGGAATCAGAATGGGGAAAATCTCAGAAGTGGAAAAAGATGTACAGTGATTGAAAGGACTTTATGATACAGACTTTACAGTTATTATGTATATACACATTGTATGCTTCCCCAGAATTTGTATTTCCCAGCCTGTTCACCTCCCTGCTCCTCTGTTTCTCTGCCGATTGGTTGGAGAAGCTGCAGAGAGGGGACAGCCTCCATTCGCCCCTTCTCTCCCCGGTTTCTCCCACGTTCCTCCCTCTTTTGCCCGTGTCCCTATCCTGGTTTGTCCCCCCGCTTGTCTGTCTCATGCTCTGCCCTATGTTCTGACCTTTTCCCCTCCTGAGCTGATAAAAGACCTGGTACACACGTGAATAAAGGATTCTACCTGCCACGGGGACCGTGGCGTTACACGAGTCCGGGACACAAAGGTGAGATGCATTGGCTATCCAGCGAAATAGACATTTACATTTTTTACGCTAAATAAACCTCATCTGAGTGGGGACAGTACAGCTGTGATAGTTGTTCAAAATTTGGAAGGCAATTTTTTAATCTATACTAGAGAATGAGTCTTTAAACTAGGTTACTTTAGCTCCCTTCAATCCAATAAAACATAGATATTCAGCCAAATAACACTGAATATATGATGTAAAAAACAAGCCTTGAGCTTTCTGGCATGGAAGACTTTCCTCAATTTCCTAAAACAACAATTACAATCTCTTCCAGCTGAAACAGTTATCACCAACAGTGGTGATAAAGAACAGAATTAGTAATGCCAAGCAGAGTAGTTACTCTACTACAGCCTTTGAGGAAATGCCTTAGGAGTGCTTCATCTGAACAAAAGTTTCAATCCACAGATGATTTTTGGTAGCTGTGACTGATTACATTAACACCAGGATGCGAGGGAAAAAACTACTAATATACAATATATGTTGTTGCAAATTCACTTTGTATGCAAGAAAAATTTTCTTTCTGCTCAGCTTCTGTTCATTGAAATACTATGTGGGTCAAGAAAATAACGGATCTTTTTAATTCTTTGCTCAGTGTATCATTGCAGTGGTCGTGTGAATATTCCGGCAGTCATGTCCAAGCCCACCAGCTGAGAATAGCAGAAGTTTAATGCTCTGCAGCCAGATTTACTTTCCAGACTATCGTACACATGACCTCTCCTTTAAAACACCTTAGACTTTTATAACATCAGAGCGTTACAAAGGCAGTGAACAAAGTAGTAGTTCAACTTCTAATATTTCATACAGTACCAAGGAGAAAGTCATAGTCTGTTCCTAGATATTTACTTTTACATACATTGCATACATATTTCTACAGTAAATTTCCATGGAAATCTGTTATTTATGTATTCATAGAATTATATTTAGTTCAGTTTAAGACCAGTAGATTACACAAACCAAAATCCTTTAGAATGACAGTTTTGTTTGCATTTCCAGGTAAAAACTTAGTGCTGTGAAATACCCACGTGCTATGATGCTCTTATTTGTATTCATATCCTGATGAACAGATGGAAAAATGAACTATTCCTTTCAGTGTTGTCACTGCTTCAGTTATCATAATAATTTGATTTACTCTTTCTGTCTCAAACCATCAACTCAAAAACAAAATGACTGTATTTTTCTGTGGGAGGTTAGACTTTGAGCAACAAAACCACACAACACCACATACATGTGATGCACCGTGCTGCACAGAAGTTAATAACGTATTTCTGCTCTGTATGCAATATAATCATTTCAAAGTACAGTAGCTTTGATATAGATGAGGTAGGTAAAATTTAACTTTGAGTTCCATGAAATCAACCATAACAGCCATTACTTCTTTTAGAAGTAGTCATTCCTTGGGCAGATAAGTAGCTTCAGAAATTAATTCAGAAAATTAATGACTTGCACTGAGCCTTTGCACTCAGTTATATATGGAGACCTAACATGCTTTGAGTATTTAGACATATATAGGATCATATAATATAAATTGAACCTGAAAGTCCCTAAATCTAGAAAGCAAATAATTTGTCCCTCATTTGAGAGTTTTGGCTCCTGGTGCAGCTCCCCTGCCCTTTCCACTTCAGAAATCTAAAATTTATTTTTTTTTTTTGGAAGGGAGGAATTCCACATACTATCTAAAAAGGGATCTGAATATGATTTCTGCCAAAACAGAAGGTATTTGGAACAGCTGAAATTCATGCTTTAATTCAGTAATTCAATTTAGTAGCTTAGAAAAAGAGACAAAATGATCTCAGAGAAATTATTTCCCTTTTTTCCCATCTATACAAAATTACATGAATCTGGAAACAAAAATATCTCAGAGAATTAGCTATTAAAAATAGTGAATTCTATCTTTATGAAATGCCAGTGTTTGACGTAAACTCTTTTAAAAAAATGTAGACCTAAAAATAGATATTTTGAAGAGCTGATTTTTCCTCAAAGACTTTTTTAATACAATGAGTCTTTGATCCAATATATGAAGCACTAAGGTCAAAGTCTAGAGGTTTTGGAAGGAGGGAATTTTCAGAGTAATGATACTTCACTGGCAACATTAGTTGAAATAACAGCATTTTCAAAAAGAAGGGTAACATTTTAGCTGTCTGGGTTTTTTAGATGCTATTCAAAACATTTATAGTGTTACTAAAGAATATGCCCCAAATGTATTGGAGTTGTTGTTATTATTATTATTATTATTATTATTATTATTATTATTATTATTATTGTTGTTGTTGTTGTTGTTGTTGTTGTTGTTGTTGTTGTTGTTGTTATTGTTATTTTAAAACATTTAACAGGTTTAGTCATTTTTTGAAAGTTTTCATGCTTAAACCTATTGGTTCTCAAACTTCAATTTTAATAATTCTTTCAGGATACAGTTTCTCATTCTTCCACAGATACCAAGAAGGACAAGGGTGTTTTTACAAGGGAAAGATCAACCAGAGACACTTCAAAGAAAAGAAATAGGAGGAAAAATAAAGAAAAATAATTAAAAAAATCTTAGTCCAGTGATATGATTGATCTCTTTAAAAAACAAAAACCAACTCTACCCTGAGATTATCCCTTGGTGTGTGCCCTAGGTCCACTACTGTTTCTTCCCTCTGTGTGTCCCAACATTTAAGGCTCCCACTGGAAGCTTATTAGCTCCCTTCTTCCTTTTTATGTTGTTGCATGTGGCAGTGGCCCCATAAAGCCATATCTCATTATCAGAAAATACCAAACCTACGTAGAAAAATATTGAGCTTTATAGGGTTTCCAAGCAAGAGAAACTTCATGCTGTTATTTGTTTATTAATTTGCTTGTTTAGCTATTTCCTTTAAATCCTAAAAAATTAACAATATTCACAAAATACATCAAAGGCTAAACAGATAATAATAACTTGAAGAACTGGATTACCCAGTTACTGGATTACACTCAAATTATATGTCCACCTGTTGTAGGTGGTTCATTAGTTGTGATAATTTTCATTCTTAATCTTTCTGTAAATATGTCTAGAAGCAAGGCAAAAGATACATAGCAACATACTTCAAAACAGATAAATTAAACTCCTTAGTTTTGAAAAAAGTAATTCACTTTCTTTTTGGGCAGCTAGCCATTACTACTTTATGTAGCACTTGCAGGTACTGGGATTTTTTGATATACATGAATGAGGGATAAACATGAAGAATGCAACATATAAATAATCATTCTGAGACAACAGAATTTCAATCCATCTGCCTTTTTTTTTTTTTCCTACCAGCCCTAGGTAGCTATATGTGTGTGCACATTTATGTATATGTATGTCTCAATAATGGTTGATGATGAAACAGAAATTCTTCAGTTTTTCAAATACCAATTCATTATTATTCTATAACAGAGGAAGTGTAAAGGTCCAAAACTACATGATCCCAGGTTTGGGGATGAAAACTGGAATCTTTATTCAACACATGAAATGCAATTTAAGGGTCTCAGGAGTAGGATATGTTAATGAGGAGGGTGGGTTATGTTAACTAGGAGAGGGATTATGTTAACTAGGGGGATTACACAGTTGATTAACATTTCCTGTATCCAGAATTACATGGAGGGGGGGGAGAGAACAAAGGGGTTTCAATATGGTCTGATAACATTATCACAAAGTCTTTCCATATCCTGCTACAGGAGACAGGCCAATCAACACAGTTAAATATTAGCAAGTCTTGGGATGAAGCTCCTCAGAGTAAGGAGTTTCTCCCAGCTCCTGCTGTCCGCGGCCTGCTACATAATCTTAGCAGTTCCTTTTCTGCTGATATCGAGTTTCAGATTGCTATAAGGAAGTGCTTACCAATGCATATTTTATGATCCTGTACATTAATTCTATTATTCAGAAATGCTGAGGTTATATTCCAGATAAAATATAGCTAGTCCTATTTGGCACCCTAATTAAGGACAGGTTTGAATTCACCTTGCAAAACACATTAACATTCTGACTTGGACGTACAGGTCAAATGTAAATTACCTGGCAATTATGATTAAGAGTCCAGAAAGTGCCAGCTTAAAGTGCCTGGAGACTACATTTTGTTGACCTCATTAGAAATATTTTAAATGCATGCATAAACATGAAGGAAAAAAAATGGAAAAGCTTTTATTTTAAGTTTTTGATTAATAAGTAGTCTTGATAATGTCTTAGTCAGAAACACTGAAAAAGAATGAACTTTTGAAAAATAAATAAATTAATAAGATGAGAAAACAGAAAATAAAAATATCAAATATTTTACATACAATTTTCAGTGATAAAATATAATTATTTCCTAAGGTTTGGCAGTGGACACAAGTGGGAGTGTAAAACAAAAAATATTTTTCCAAAATTAGCAAAGAACAACTGTACTGATACAGACTTCTTTAGAGAGTTATGGAATTTTAATTTTATGCATATATATATTTATATGTATATATATGTGTGTATAAAAAAATATATACATATATACAGTGTGAGACATATTTTCCATTTTCACACTACTAGCAGGGGTTTACAGTTAAAGGGTTACTTGCCTTTCCCTTACCTTATCTCTTGCTTTGCCTCCTGCTATGTGTCATACCTTGCCTTCTGCCTTTTCCCATGAAGTTCTGTTAAATATTTTGTATTTCTATGATACTGAATTATAAAAAGCACAGAAGGTAGTAGACCAAGTAAGATGTAGTTTTGCAAATAATTAGTGGTCAAATATTGATCTTTTTGAGCCAAAATAGGTCTAGTGCAGAGATCTTTGGACAATTGCAAATGAGACCCTGTTGAGCTTTTTAAGTCAAATAAATGAAAAATACTTATTTTTAAATTCTTCAAAACTAATACAAAATAAGATTAAGACAATTACCGCTATGATCGTTGGTTGCTGTTTTTTGATGGTCCATCTCTTATCTCACTTGTTACCAACTTCTGCCTTACTTGTTTTTTACTTTTAAGAACAGACTAGGACAATTTTTAAACCACCCCAGAAGTCTAAAAGCCTCCTTCAAAAATGAACCTGTGAAAGTCCCAATGGAGAGAAATCAGTGACTAAAGTAAATAAAGAATACAAAATCAGTGATGGGGATCACAGTAACCATGAACTAAGTAGATCTTTGGTCCAATTTAGCATGGTTCTATTGCTATTCAAATATAAAGTTTGATAATAGATGTCAATAGAAATTGCATCTTACCTAAATCTAGCTTTCCTAGGAAAGGAAGAATCACGGTTCTTTTCACATAAACATCTTATTATAAAGTTTGAACTATAAGCATTCTGTTATAATCTGTAATGTCTTTGATAATATTTATAAAATAACATTATTTGTAAATGCGGATTTGCAAATAATATCTCAAAATTAGCATGGGTTTATTTTGTTGACTTTGTTCTTAATATTTAATCAAGGAATTAAGGGATATCTCTAGATTAGCTGTCCTTGTCCTTATGGGTAATTTTAACCTCCCAGATATCAAGTGGAATATCATACAGTAGGCACAAACTGGTCCAGAAAACTCCTGAAACATATTGAAGATAATTTCATGGAGCAGGATTAAGGAAGACAACCAGTGTGGTGGTTTGGAAAAAACCTTTCCCCCTGAGACTGGTGGCAGTCTGCCCCAGAGGTGGTGTTTCTGATACTGAGCCAATTAAAAACTTGGTGCGCCCTGCCGAAATTACATACTCACAGAACTGGAAGAGAAGAGGTTAATTTTAACTGCATAGCTGGAAGAGAGGCAGCCATGAGTTGAGATGCCACATGTTAAATGGTGGGCTGGGGGGGGGTGTTTCCTCCCTGGTCCTGACCGTTGGGGCCAGGGGCTTCTTTCCTTTTCCAGCTCTAGCTTGGTGGGACCTGGCACGGCTTTGTAGCTGGGCAAGGATGCTGAATTAAGACTGTACTCCCCCCACCAACTGCCAGGGAGAGTCGGTGGCGTGGTGCCTGATCGGCCAGCCAGAGTGCTGCAACCGGCAGACAGACATGGTGCTGGAATGGAACCTGAGTAAGTTGAGGGGTGGCCGAAGCAGGCCAGGCTGATTAGCCATGACCCTTGGAGAGGCAGCTGCAGCACACAGCCATAGAGTGGCCCGGGACGGGTTGAAGCAGCAGCTCGGACCCTGAGGCAGAGGCAACCACAGAGCAAACCTCTTCAGAGGAGTAGCCTGAGCTCCCACAGCAGCTCGGAGCAGAGAGGCCCCTGTGAAGGGGCAGACTCAGCAGTGAACCAGACAAGCCAGAGTATGCTTGAATCCAGGAACAGAACAGAGCAGATGGAGAGAGAGGTCTGCTGGAACGCTTTTGGGGTAAGAACTGAACTGAAAAAAAAAACCAAAAAATGTTCTGACTCAGGGAGCTTGATCCCTGGGGATAGGGACCCCCACGGAATAGAGGATAAAGACTTTCAGCTTTAGCTCCCTACACTCCATGGTGTCGACCACGGTGAGTGAGTAGGGGTAAAAGAGAGACCCCCTGCATTCTGACGAAGAGAAAGAGAGGTTTTCCAGCTATGAAAAATCAAAACTGCTGCCTTAAAGATAAGAGACACTTCCAAGTGCCGCAGAAATTAATTTGGAAGAGCTGTGGCCTGAAAGTGAAAAGAAGACTTCCTCTTCTTTCTTTTTGGACTTTTTTGAAGGAAAGGAGAAACGGTCTATGTATATATATTGTTTCACCATAGGAGAAATAGTTAAAATTGTTATATATATGTACATATATATGTATTATAGTATTTATTGTGTTAGTAATAAATTGTGATATAATTCCCTTTCTCCATATTGAGTTATTCCTGTCTGAAAACTTCCTCTCACATTAGAACAAATTGTAGAAAAACTTTTGAAATGAGCTTTTCGAAATTTTTTTTTCCAAACTACCGTATTCATGAAAGGAACCCTTCTAGATTGTTGTTTATGAACAGAGAAAGAATAATGGGCAAAGTGGTTATTGGTTATTGCCTTGGTCACAGTTTTAGGACCAGTGTTCTTTAATGTTTTTATAAATTATCTAGATGTAGGAATCAAATGTACATAAAGGAAATTTGCTGATGATACTAAACTAAGAAGGTGTGCTGGATTCTCTCAAGGGCAGAGAGGCCTTACAGAGAGATCTGGGTAGACTTGGGAGCTGTGCATTCATCAACCACAAGTGCAAGTGCCAGATTCTACTCATTGTAGGCAGGTTGCACTAGATGACCTTTAAACCTCCTTTCCAACCCAAACTGTTAAATCATCTATGATTGTCCATCTAGGATTGGGTAATCCTAGTTATATGCACAAAGTAGGGAATGACAGGCTGGACAGTAGCCTCACAGAAAGAGGTCTGGGCAGTTGGGATGATGACAAGTTGAATATGAGCCAATGATGGACCCTGGCAACCAAAAGGGCTAATCCTGTCCTGGGATGCATTGCCAGCCAGTCAATGGAGATGATTATGCTGCTCTACTCTGCGCTGATGGGACCTACCCTTGAGTACTTTGTGCAGTTTTGGGTCTCTCAATGTAAGAAGGACATTAA